GTGATGGGTAAATCCAGAGTTGCACCTCTAAAGACGGTTTCGATTCCGAGATTAGAACTTAATGCCGCCTTACTAGCTGCGCAGTTATTCACAACAGTGTGTAAAGAGTTGGATTACCCCAAGCATCCCGTAACGTTTTGGACTGATTCGATGTCTGTGATATATTATATACGCAACGAGTCAGCAAGATATGCATGTTTTGTAGCTAACAGAGTATCTCAAATTCGTGAACTAACAACTGTTGAGCAGTGGAGGTACGTACCGTCTGGAAAAAATCCAGCTGATCTAGCATCGCGAGGAGTTATTGATATGAATGTTGTTAAAAATAAGTGGTGGAAAGGTCCAGAGTTCTTGCTAAGGGCTGATAGTATGTGGCCTCGTAGAGAAGATGAACCACCGATAAACGAGTGTGCCTTGGAGTTGAAGACAAGTGTCAGTTTAACATCTACTCAAGAAAGACATTCAGGTTTACATCCACTTTTTAAATATTATTCTTCTTGGTACAAACTACTGAAAGTGGTTGCGTGGTTGACACGATATGTTACGTATTTAAAGGTCATGCATCTTGCGGGATACGAAAATATGAATGTGGGGCCTTTGAGAGTCGAAGATATTAGAAATGCAGAGTTAGCGATTTTGAGGGCTGCTCAGTGGGAAGCGTGGGGTGAGATTACCAAGGAGGATAGTCCCGATTTCGCAGATTTCAAGGTGCGGTTAGATAGATTATCTCCGATAGTTTCCGAAGGGATCGCTAGAGTTGGTGGACGTCTACAAATGTTAGAATCGTCATATGAGACCCGTCATCCGGCTTTATTACCTTGCTACCATCCAGTCACTGATCTCATTATAAGACACTACCATGTTCTTGAAGGTCATTTGGGTACTTCGCAAGTACTATCAAGTATTCGATGTAAGTTCTGGATAGTGAAGGGAGGTACTGCTGTCCGTAAAATAATTGATAAGTGCATGGAATGTAAACTCCGAAATGCTCGTCCAGTACAGCAGATAATGGCACCACTGCCAGCGTGGCAAGCTTCTGAAGGGAATTATCCATTTGAGTACGTTGGGGTGGATTTGTTCGGACCTTTTGTAGTGAAGAGAGGCAGAACCCTATGTAAAAGATATGGCTGTTTATTCACCTGTTTGAAAATGAGAGCTGTGCATATTGAGATGGTTCATACGCTAACTACTGATTCATTCGTGCTAGCATTACATAGATTTATAAATCGCCGGGGTGTACCGAAGATGATGTTCAGCGACAGAGGGACTAATTTTGTTGGCTGTCACGCCGAGCTTAAAGAATACTTCGAAGGTCCTCAAACGAGAGTTCAGGAAGAGTTACTGAAAAGGAACATCGAGTGGCACTTCAATCCACCACATGCCAGCCATAGAGGTGGGCTATGGGAAAGACTTATAGGAATTATCAAGCGTATTTTAAGCTCCATAAATAAAAACCAGAGTTTGAATGACGAAAAGCTGGAAACATTTTTTTGTGAAGCTGAACGAATATTAAATGACCGGCCGTTATCACCTGTGAGGGACGACGTCAAGGATTTTGATGTGTTAACCCCAAATAAATTATTGTTATTGAGAGGCAACCCTGGCATAGAGGACGCAAGCGGGGAAGGAATACCTACGATTAAAAGATGGAAACAAGCCAGGCACATGATGAAAGATAAAAGCGCGGTACGTTCAACGTTTGCGTTACATTTTTACGTGATTCGTTACATAAAATTTATCTTGTTGTAGTACTTGCACAAGTACTATACCACCTCCATACTTGTAACCACTAACTTCAATTTCTAATAGTTATGGTTAATCAAAGTAAAAAGCAACGAACCCAATCCCCTGTAAAACTGGTGTCTAATTTAACGTCCTTGATTGCTACATCAAGCAACACACCTCCTACAAACGGCTATAATGAGTCACATAACTCACTTGTATGCCGTAAGCGTCGAGCTGGAACTGAGGATAAAACTGTACTGACAGCTAGTATTAGCACTACTCCTAAAAATTCAGTACCCTCTGCTCATACAGAACTCCTCCCTTCACCTTATGTGCTTATCGAAAAACTCCAGCCATCAAGCTCTTCTTCAGTACTATCTTCAGAAATAGAACTTCTAAAGTTGTCTATAGGTGAACTTAAGGCTGAGTTAAGGGAAATAAAAAACAGCAAGTCAGTAAATGCTGGAAACATCGAAACCGATACCGAGATATCCAAATTATCAGATCAGATCAGCGATATCAGATCGCAGGTCTGTGAATTGACACCTCTAACTATCCTCATGAAAACTGTAAACCTTAACAAGCTTGACACAGAATCGGTAACTAAGGTAGATAACCTCATTAATTTTGTTACCACAGAAGTAACAAAACGACTCAAAACAAAACTGAGTGCTATTGTCTACAACGTTCCGGACAATGAGGCACTAAAAAAGGTACAGCGCATCTTACTTAGTGAAGCGAAAATGCCTAACTCCAAGACTAAGTGCTATAGGCTGAAGAAGAGTCAACATGAAAAGTGTTGTCCTATTCGTTTTCAGTTCGAAACACCGGCAGAGACCAGAAAATTCATCCACTCCCAACACACCCTATCGCAAGCCAGAAACTACAAACATATAAAGGTCGGGGTGGACAAAACAGTCATAGAAAGGCGCGCATACAACTATCTTGCTAAGACTAATTGTGAAATAGGTAATAGGACATTGCAAGCAGCCATTATTCCCAACCCTGTGAAAGATACAGTAGACCCCACCGCATCACCCCTCTCAAAACACACAGAAATATCCCATCAGAGTGCAACACCAGCCGAAAGGCCACTAGACTGTAACCAAATAAATAACAAAACCATACCACCTATCACCGCAGAATCTAAAATGCCATTAAATAACCCCAGAAAAAAAGCCAAAACCCCCCGAAATTCGACTTTGTCCTCTCCTAGCCATAACTTCATTGCTAAAGGTAAGGAAAATATGCCCCTAAATCATACCAACAAAAACAGTGGCAGCTTAAATAAACCCACACTTCCCACGGTCAATAGTACTAGCACCCACAACGTGCTAAATCGCACCATGGCACACACTAATATCCAATGTCACAACAATGTCACCCTCAATAGTACAAGTGGTAATAGTCAGAACTCGGCTATCAACAACTTAGGGTCTTCAGAGTATGGCACACAAACAAATTTTGACCGGATATATGGTACAAGTCTGCTGGGAACTAACCCACAATGCAGTACACATGAAACCCACACAAGGACACAACTAGCATCAAACAATAGGTGGAATAATAAGCCATGGTCATCAAAGGATCCAATCATTTTTTATCCCCCGCGTCCCTGTCAGCGTTGAAAAAACAGCTGGTAGGGATGTTAACACTCCTAAACCACTAGAGCTGGCTCCCTCCTTGCATGAAAACAGGAACGGTCTAGTGCACCCGTATCCATTAGGCACACTTGACACCTGCACAAATATAGGTCAAATAAAGAACCCTACCCACTTCTGTAACCTAACTAAAAATAAAAATTCCTTGGTCTATAGCAAATCCAGTACTCCAACTCCTAATTCTTCACCGAAAACAGCACACACCAACTCGATAGACATAGGTGAGCATGATGCTGAAACTCCTCTTAACATAGGATCATCATGTCAAGCAGAACTACTGGGTGCTGAACCATATTCGGGGCTGACTAACGAACTTAAATACTTCAAATGCTACTTCAACTCTCATCTTTACCTAATCCTCATAAATGCTAGATCTGTTCTAAATAAATTGCCGATGCTCAGAGCACTCACAGTAATATACAAACCCCCTGTAATTGTCATCACTGAATCTTGGTGTCATTCGAACATCTTGGATGAAGAAATAAGCTTAGATAACTACACACACTTTCGGTGTGACAGGGAAGGTGGTAAGGGAGGGGGTTGTCTCATGTACTTTCTGAATGCACTTACTGTATCACAGCTAGAAAGTAGTACACTTAACATGCCTGAGACTCTATGGGTTAATGTACACTTAAATAACGTAACAGCATTAATTGGATGCACCTACAGAGCACCTGGCACCTTTAGTAATTACGAGACCCAACTTATTAATACTCTGGAGCAATTATCCGACTTACAATACGACCATAAGATCCTATGTGGGGACTTTAACTTACCTGAAATCAACTGGGATATACCCACAGGCCCAACTAAATTTGATAAGTTCTTAGGCACACTGGATATACTTGGCTGGAAACAAACTGTCACTACTCCCACAAGAGGTAACAACGTACTAGACTTAATCTTCTGCCACAATATAAGCCCCCTTTCAACGCTAGTAGGTTCTGAGTTTCCAGGGAGCGACCACAAAACAGTGGTATGTGCACTGCCAATTCCGCTGAGTAGCAATGCATCTCATACCTCCACTTCACAACAAGTAATATATAGGAACTATAGTAAGGCAAACTGGGCCTTAGTAGAATCAATGCTAAGATCCTCCAAATGGGATGAATACTTCACTACTGATGACCTATCGAGAGCCCTAACCATCTTCTACCATAACACTAACACATGCTTAGATGCTGTCATTCCACTCCAAACACTAAAGGTTTCCCCACACAGAAAGTCATTCATAAAACCAAAGGATCGTACGAAACTGAAGAGACTCTCAACAAGTTACTTCAAACACCACGACTTTGGCACTCTAGGTCTAATACTTAACACCCTTAGCTCCATCTCACAAGCTCGAGATTTCCGTATGAGAAAGGAAGAACGCATCGCAGTAGCCAGTCCTGCTAGAGTGTATGCACTCACAGAAATCTTAAGGAAGCGAATGAATCGCAAAAATCACAGCATTTCTCTCCTCATAGACAAAGGTAGGCTATGCACTAACTCTGCAGACATATGTGAACTATTCAACAAAACGTTTGCAGGTAACTACATTAAGCCCTCAGTCCAGCTACTCGATATACACCCTATTACTAATATGGCACAAACTCCATCTCCACTCACACCAAACCAAATTAGCACTGTTCAATTCACTTACGCTAATATTAACCAAACTATAAGAACCCTCAAAAGTTCAAAAGGTTTCGGTACCGACGGTATATCATCTTACTTCTATAAATATGGTGGCCCTGACATTCCTCTACTGCTGCTTAAAATATTCACAATGTCCCTAGAAACCCAAACTTACCCTGACATATGGAAGACAACATTCATTATGCCTAAACACAAATCTGGCTCGAAAACTGAAGTCAGTAACTACCGGCCAATCAATATCACACCTATAGCATCTAGAATCATGGAGAGACTAGTCAAAGATAACCTAATCAAACATATGCTTAGCTGCAATATTATAAGTCCGAACCAACATGGATTCCTGAAATCCAGATCATGTTTAACATGTCACCTAGACTTCTTCAATTTTGTAACCAGCAGTCGTGACAGACGGCAACTAGTACTTGTCATCTACTTTGACATTTCTAAGGCATTTGACCGTGTTGACCATTTACTGCTAACAAATAAGCTGAACTCCTTAGGAATACGTGACCCATTATTAGGATGGCTTAAATCATTCCTTAACAATAGGTCCCAAATAGTTAAACTCGGGTCTGCAACCTCCAAACCTAGCCCTATCACTTCTGGTGTAGTACAAGGTAGTGTCATTGGACCCCTCCTATTTACACTATACATCAATGACATATGCGCTTGCTTCACGCACGGGAAACCATTCATCTTTGCAGATGACCTAAAAGTAGCTTATACATTCCAAAGTGATGACTTAGGGAACTTCGAGAATGTAGTGCAGAAGGAATTAGATAAAATGACTGCTTGGTCGTCCCTATGGAATCTCCAATTCAATCTGAAAAAATGTGGCTGGATCTGCTTCGGTGCACCCTCAATTGACCTGAAATTAACGCTCCAATCTGCTAACCTAACCAGACTCCGAAGTGTCGTTGACCTAGGCCTGAGGTACTCTAGTGACTTGACATTCTCTGAGCAAGTAGCATCACAGACTAGAAAATCGAGGATGCTCTTAGGATGCATACTCAGGAACTTTCACGACAATGAAGCCAAGCTAATTCTGTACAAAACATGTGTCAGACCACTACTAGAATACTGTCCATTTATTATAAGCAGCACTCGCACACGTGACAAGCTAAGGATGGAAAGTATCCAACGATATTTTACCTCAAAACTACTTGGCTATGATTGTAAGAAAGACTACATCTCACGGTGCATGATCCTAAAACTTGACCCACTTTGGACAAGGCGACTTATTATAAACCTAATATTCTTCTTTAAGGTCCTTCACAAAATATCATTCTCAGGTAACAGGGACATACAATTCGCACAGGAAGGTTCTTACGATCTGCGTAACCAAACTTCCACAGTGACAACTCATTCTTTTAAGTCAACACTCCGTGAAAACTTCTTCACAGTCATGTATTCTAAAATATGGAATAGCCTACCCCTAGATGTCAGAACTTGCTCTTCGGTTACAAGCTTCAAACGCTCTCTGCATAGACTGTTTCACTCTACTGATTATATCAATAAACTATTTACTCCTAAAACGAATCAACTACTAATCTACTACAGCACCTAAAAGACGCACTTCAACACCCTTAACAATCTAAAAACCATAAATAAACTAGCAGCATGGATGCATAAAGACTTAGTACGGAACATACAGGAATAGTTTACCCCTAGAAATAGGACGTGTCACTTTATTGTAACCTTCAAACGCTTGCTATATAAACTGTTTTATCCCAAAGTCTATCCCTACCAGAACTCATTACTTACTTCTAAAACGCATCAGTCATTAGAACACTAAAACGCTCAGACTCATTAATACACATCATGACACTAAATAAACTCTAAGACTTCGCATAAATACGTAAAAAGAACTATAACTAAAAATAATTTCTTAATAATTTATTATACAATTGACATAAACAATATATATATATACATTAATGTCCTTTTAATGTTCACATACTTTCTCTTTTTGGTACTCTGATACTCCTATTCATCTTCTGGTCGAGGTCGAACAACCCTGCATCTAAACTGAAATGAGGATTAATTCCAAACCATCTACCTCATAACCACCCAAATTCCATGAACGATCCAATTCTACCATTTGAAGACGCTGGCGAACATGCTGTAAATGAGTATTCATGATCTGAAATGAAGAAGCAACTGGTTTTCAAACAGTTTTCAACATTTTTCTGAACTTACGAATGCAGTCCGCCATGCAGACACAAATGGAGCAAATGGAGAATTCTGGAACCGACCTCAGCACCATTTGATGCAGTAAAACAACTTCACATGACCTCATCTAGTTTTCGCATCCACGATCAAATTTCTTTCCTGTTATAAAACTACGATAAGACTACTGAAAAAATGGAATAAATATATCACTGATCTCAACATAATACATCAATAAACTTTGAGCCGAGGGTGCTGTTCACAACAAAGTTATGTAAGAGGATTGACTTCAAGCTTTTTTTCCCAGATATCCGTATTACATTCATCTGATGTCTGGGTTTTTTTTAATGCGAAGACAATATCTCTATATCTCTTTATGTGCTACACAAACAGACTTTATAGCAGACTGTTCCGACTGACTTTGATGTCAGAAAGAACAACCAAACTGTAAATTCATCATACATCAATTTGTGTAATTTATATAATAACTTATCCATGCCTGTACAATTGGTATGTTCCTGCATAAACAGGAAGAAATATATTATTATTATATATTTTGGAAAAGATGTTTAAAGGAGTATGTTCTAACATTGCAGACCAGGGACAAGTGGAAAAATTTGTGCCGAAACTTAGATGTTGGTGACATAGTATTAGTAGCAGATAAATGTGCCACAGGTAGGTGGCCTTTGGGAGTGGTAGTAAGGCTGATCTGTAGTGGTGATGGATTGGTGAGGACGGCTGAGGTGAGAACTAGTTGTGGCATGTTGGTGCGAGATATCAGAAAACTGTGTCTGCTGGAAGGTGCTGAGAGTAGAGAGTCGGAGGATGAAACAATAGATGATTTTCCAACCTAGGGCGTCAACCTGAGAAGGGTTGTAGGCGTACTGCTGTAAGTCCTACAATTCTTCAAAGGGTAACGCATCGATGAGCAGCCCAATGTACTTGGTGTGTGATTTTGTACATATGTTCATATTGTATATACTGAATTGATATCATCTTTCATCTATTTGTTGATTAATCTTGTTTGTGTCCGTACATTCCACAAATTACAATCGTCAACCTGTGAAGGGTTGTAGGCGTACTGGTGTAAGTCCTGCAATTCTTCAAAGGAATTCCACCAAGACATGATCGGCGAGGTTGTTTGTACTATTTGTATATACGTGTGGTGTGTCATAGCAATTGGTGTATTTTGGATTCATTGTGTGTACTTGTTGTTTTCGTGTCTCGTTGTTATTGCGTAATTTTGTTAAAATTTTCGTCGTGATTATTTCTGAAGTTGTTTCGAGTCTTCTACATCCATGAATGAATTGATTGATGTTAAGGACAGCAGATGGGGCGTATACGCCGGGGAGGATATGCTATTGCTGAGAATGAAATGCACACGGAGATAATTGTTAGCTGCGGTCCGACACGCCGGGGAGAAAGAGTGTAAACGGCTGAGGCTCGCATACATCACCATTACTAGAACTGAGGCAGAATGAGTGACAAGCGATTTCAGTGGTAATTGGTAATGAGTAGATAAGAGGATGTGCGTAGAGTATCGTGAGGTGCTGCTATGGTCACTTTGCATTCTGCAAGAGTCATTCTAGCAAGTGGCGATTGTGTTGCAAGATGTCAAGAGGATACCTTTATCTGGAGGCGCAGGTCGTCAGCGATGTGTGAGATTGTGCTGTGGGTATGCTTGTGGTGTGTTGGCTTTTCTGTTTGTTTTCCATTTCAGCTCTGTCCGTGTGACCCAGGTTCTCGCAATGACATCCAAGTCAACGTGTATTGGTCGTGATGGGAAAAAGGGATGGATCCCATTTTGCCGGGGAGTGTCAATGGAGTTGAAGATTGAACGATCAATTCTTGGTTGTTTGCTCAAACCAACTTCCCCAATTTTCGCGGAGGCATCAATACGACAGTCATCGTCTCTTCGGTCGCTGTTCAGAAAGAAGAGTGAAACATCGTCAGAAGTAATACAATGATTTATTATTGTAATATTTGTTTTCAGACCTTAGTTCACTTATTCCTTTTATATGTTGGTGTAACAATAAAGAAATATCAAGCGGCAGATCGGTGTTTTGGTTTTTTCGTCCGTTATAACTAAGCGTTTCTGAAATCTTCAAAGAACAGCGTGGGTCCGAGCGTAGCGAGAGCTGGGCATTAACGGTTTATGAGACGTGATTGACATACTCTTTGTGCCTATTAGTTGTTTGCTTACAGTCTAATTGCTTTTATTAGAAACACAACAGCACCAGTGTTTGAACAAAGCTGTATTTTCATGGAAAACGTCATATTTTCTATGCTTACACCGATATGGTTGGCATTAAACATTGCAAATGTATACCAACATTCCAAGGACGTAACACTTAGCCAAATGTACAGTGTTCATTATGAATGGTTTGCAATTTAACTCTTATCATAACCTGTTCTAATTATTATTATTTGCTTGCTGCTATCCTTTAGAAAATGAACAATATGTGTGACAGTAAAAACCACGGAAGAATGCTGTCATCAGCGAAGAATGAGAAAGGAGAATGAACCATTTTCAGCAAAGGTAGGCAAATACAAAGCGTTTAACTTTAATATTACTTCTTTCTTACTTCAGTGATTTAAAAAAAACACTTTGTTTACTTATTTCAGATTTCCGGTAACGTCAGTCAACCCGGTCACAGCGATTCGACATTGCCCAAATTATTACGACAAACAACTGCGTAAAGACATTTGTTTGTTATTATTTTTCATTAAATATACTTAACATCATGCTTACCAGACCTTTCTTGTTCTATCTGAGTGTATCTATATTTGTCATGATGACTAGATGCAGGTATGACTTATCAATGAGACCTGACGAAGTAATTGGTGGCATATTTTAGTGTAATGTAAATGTGACTACGATTGCTACAGCTGAACCTATTCAATTCTTCGTCTCGCGTACACTTCACTTTACACTATAAGTTAACACCCATAATCATATGAATCAACATCACGCTTTAAGTGAAATATTGGTAATGGACTACTTTTGAATACACTTTACCATATAAGAAATCGACTCAATTGCAGTGCCTAAGTTCATTTCTTATTTTTCAAATACTGAAGTATTTTGTACTTGGTCCCTACAGACTTACCTATGACTAGAAGACGTAATCGCGTAACTTTAGGCAGATTTTTGGGCTTGAATAAAGTACTTATAATTCACTACTTATATCGATCGATAGTGTTGCTACAGAATTACACCTATATACAGTAACGAGTTTATATCCTAGGGAGTACCGGTCTAGCATACCGTACTCCCACCGCATGCAGAACAAATAGAACACAAGAATATTAGATAGAAAAGTTTATTTCACTGCAACGCAAACAAGTTTATTTACATGTATTATCTAAGCACAGTCAAAAATGAAAGTCTTCGCTTAATAATAATAATAATAATGTATATTCTCATATAAACATATAAATTTTGATATGGTTTTGTTCTCTGATCTGGATAGTTAGTTTGCGAAGCTTTCATCACCTTACTGGGTGACATCTTCAGCGCATACTTCAAATTGAAGTGAGCTTTTAGGTTTCTCCACGAGTTTATTAATCATTCCTCCTGGTGACCTTGGACGTGATTGGTTGTTTATGTATGTTTTCACACCATCTAGGTTACTTGTGTTGGAACTGATTGTTTCTGTGACTTGAACTTTGGCCAATCGTGTGTGAAGTTTCTTTCTTATTGGTTGATAAATTTTGTCTATCTCGATGTGTCTATTGATTGATGATTCACTGGAATGCCAAGCTTCTAAAAATTCTCTAGCATTCTTGTTATTTCCTTTGTCTAATATTTGAACGTTGTCCCAGTCGAATTGATGTCCGTGGTTGTCTGTATGGAGTGGTATGAGGGAGTGTATATCATGTCTTTTGACGGCTAGCTTATGTTCGTGGATACGAAGACGAAGGGGACGTCCACTTTGGCCAATGTAGTGTTTTTCGCAGTTGTTACAGTTTATTTTGTAGATGATGTTGGTTTTGTCTTCTTTTGCTGTTGAGTCTTTTGGTTGACATAGAATTGAGTGCAGCGACTTTGTTGGTTTGTGTACGACGTCAATTCCTAAAGGTTTGAAGAGTCTTTTAGTGATTTCTGAGATATCCTTTATATATGGTAAGGTGATTTTCTTTGTGTTTTCCTTGGTGGCTTTTGTTTTGGTAGGTTGGCTTGGAGGTATATGTCTCTTGATGAAATTCCGGGGATATCCATTCTTTTGGAAGACGTCCATGAGATACCTTTCTTCAATTTTTCTTAAGGTGGGAGTGCTGCAGTGAGTCCTTGCTCTCTTGAATAGTGTTTGTATGCAGTTCCTTTTGTGTGCTATTGGGTTGTTGCTGTTGTAATTCAGTATTTGGTCTGTGTGAGTTGATTTCCTATAAACTTGAGTTTCTAATTCTCCTGTAGTTGTTCGCCTGACTAAGACGTCCAAAAATGGTATTTTGTTCTCGGATTCCTCTTCTCTTGTGAATTTGATGTCGTTGAAGACGTTGTTTATTAAGTTGTGAGTTTTGTCTAATTCGTTTCTTTTGATTATTACAAATGTGTCGTCGACGTAGCGTATCCAAATCTTGGGTTTGATCTTTAGTAGAATTATGTTTTCGAGTCTTTGCATCACTGCTTCTGCAATCAAACCTGATATTGGCGATCCCATGGGTGTTCCTTTGACTTGTTCATATATTTGGCCGTTGAATTGGAAGTATGTTGTTAGGCATAGATTTATGCATTCCATCCAGCTTGTGTGTTGCATTTTTGATTGTTGTGGAAGTTGTTCGTCGTTGCTAAGTAATTGCTCCATGGTTTCTTTTGCTAGTTTTTGTCCGTATCCACGAACATAAGCTAGCCGTCAAAAGACATGATATACACTCCCTCATACCACTCAATGCATACAGACAACCACGGACATCAATTCGACTGGGACAACGTTCAAATATTAGACAAAGGAAATAACAAGAATGCTAGAGAATTTTTAGAA